GACCTCCATTATTGTATCATCAGAAATTTCCATGTACAGAGATCCAGAACTTGACAGGACTGCTTTGTTTTTCCAGATCTGGCAAGTTTTCCGCCTTTGACAGGGTGCAGTCTTACACTTTTCTATGACTCTGTATTAGTGGAAAATATTGGAGTTTTTCTTTCTCTGACAGGTTTCTGCCTTACACAGTTCCGGCTTTTGCAGGTTTTACTGTATTTGGAAATTATATCCTATAGGGAAGCAGAAATAAAAGCATAACAGAAAATTCCAGAATACACCCTGCTGCTGCTTCTCTTCTTCATTTATCAGGAGACATGTGCCCTGTGCAAACTTTACTTTCAGCTTTTGGACTAAACACTATAACTTATACAGCACCTGAGTTAGGAAATGCAATGTATCATGGCCCTGGGTTTGTGTTACTTTTCACATCTCTTTTTCTATATATATGATATTGCATCTTACTTACTTTAATAGATCAGTTAGATAGTCTTCCTTGACTCTCAAGTTGAAATCATTGTACAGTGATAAAATCTAACAGACTGAAGGAAGAGGTTTTTATTACATGATATATAGTGTCAGAAAAATTATTTCAAAATGAGAAGTCAAAATAGGAAACTTCTCTTCTGAAAAGTGGAAATCTATAGCTAAGTTGTAAATGTTATGACTGTTGCTCTTTGGCGCCAAAAATAATTTTAAGTGATGCTATTTCAGGCAATTATAGATACTTGGAAGTCCTTGGAAGTCTGTCAGTCAATTAATCAAATTAAAAAAAAAACAACATACTTTTTTATCATTTAAAGATATCTGTTCATGTTCAGACACTTGCTAGATTGATAGCCTTAGGTAGTATATTTCTAGCATGGATCTCATCCTTGAACTCCAGGCCATTGTATTTGGCCTCAAGGTTGGATGTCCAGTAGGTTTCTGTAATTGAATACACGCTAAACTGATTTACCCTGAAACCAGCTCAGTTTTTCCCAGGCTGAAAACTATGATTTCTCCTTTGACTTCTTTCTTTCAGACCCCACATCGAATCTATGTGGAGATTCAGTTGTCTCTAATTATAAATATATATCCTGAAGCTGACCGGTTCTCTTCCTCTCCACTGCTAGCCCTTTGTACAAGTCAGTGTCTTTTACTGCCTCGATTATTACGGTAGACAAGTAACTGATCTCTTTCTCTTGGTGTCTCTTTCTCTCTTTCCTCCTTCTAGTCTGTTCTAAACAGAGCAGCCAGAGGAATCCTGCTAAAATGCAAGGCAGACCATGTCATTCCTCTGCTCAGACACCTGGAATGGCTTTTTTTTTCTTGCTCAGAATAAAAGCCAAGGCTGTTGTTAGGACCTATGAGGTTGTTACTCTGACTTTGTGATAGGCCCACCCCGTCCCTCTCCCCTCTTGCTCTCTCCTCTACCCCCCTTCTCCTTTTTCCTTTCCACTCTCTACTGCACCTCTGCTGCCACTGCCCTACTCAGAGAACCCGCCTCCTACCTCCCACCTCCAGGTTTCTGTGGTTGCAGTTTCTGGGCTTGGATTTCTTTTCCTAACTCATTCCTGCACACCCAGGTCTTTAAGTTCCTTATGGAAAAGGCACGTTTCTTAGAGGATTGTAGAGTTGATCCCCTGCTGACAGTACATATCCTCCTTCTTGGCTCTGTTGTTACCACTTATCACTATTAACAGACTATATGTTTTACTTTGTTGTTATTTCCCTCTCTAGACTTTATGGTTTATGAGGATTTTTTTGTTTTGTTCACCTATGTACCACGGCTGCCTAGAACTGTGTTCCTTGCATACTGTTGTTGTTAGCTGCTGTTGAGTTGGCCCCTGACTCATGATGGTCCTATGCACAATGAGATTGGATTGTTGAGGTCCATAGGGTTTTCATTGGCTGATTTTTGGAAGTAGATTCCCAGACCTTTCTCTCTGGTTCCTATTAGTCTGGAAGCTCTGCTGACAGACGGGTGGTGACTGTGCTTGAGGTTCACGGGTTGAGAATCAAACCCAGGTCTTGCACATGGAAGGTGGGAATTCTACCACTGAACCATCACTACCCTTATTCCATGCATATACTTGATGTTGTTGGGTGCCATCGAGTCGATTCCGACTCATAGTGACCCTGTGTACAACAGAGTGAAACATTGCTCGGTCCTTCGCCATTCTCACGATAGCTGCTATGCTTGAGCCTATTGTTGCTATACCAGGCACTTAGTAAGTACAGTAAAACCTGCGCAAGCTAGAGCCTGTGTAAGGTGGAAACCTGTCAGAGAAAAAAAAGTGAAATGTTTTCCACGAAATAGAGAGCTATGGAAAAGTGATGACTACACCCTGTCAGAGGCGGAAACTAGCAAGGACTTGGAAAAATAAGGCAAACCAGTCGAGTTCCGGCTTTCACAGGTTTCACTGCATATTAATTAAATGCATACATGAATGAATGCATACGTATGTCAGAGGATGAGTATACCAGGTTTAATAACATTTTATTATGTTGAAAGCAACAGACCAATTAGAATAGAAGCTCTTTGAGGCAGAACTTTACCTGTTTATTTTCTTTTGTATCTGCAGAACCTACCAGTAGCTGACTTAAACTGATTTCCTGGTCGTCGGTAAACATGCCAAAACAGGGAATGGATAAATAAAGCGTTAGTATTTATTAGTCGCAAGGCATTTCAGTTATGAAGCTTTTTAGAATTGGGATTTTTTTTTTTTAATTTCTGATGATATCTGGATTATAATTTTAAAAAAATTGTTAAAAATGTTTAAACATAATCTTATTAATAAGGCAGTGAAGAATAGACTGAATACACTAATCACATATTGCTAGTAATATTATGTCAATAATAGGCCAGTAAATTTATGTTAGTCATTCATGCTTGGCTTAAGGTTGATGGTAAGTCTGATACTTACTTGTACTTTTCTTTAAACCAAATTTAAAGAATCTGTAATTCTTTTAAGTCAAATCTAATGTCTTAAAGTAAAATTCCTTTGTTTACTTCTGCGTTGTAAGAAATAAACATTTGTACTGGAATCGAATTGAACTGTACTTTAATATTATACATTTTTTATTTTTCCATTTTTTACTGTTAAAGTAAATTCTTATTCCTCTAAATATGCAGCATTACCGGCTTTTAGCAGATAATGTTAAAATGTTATGTTAGGTAAACATTCTCCCTCTCTACTTACTTTAGGTTGTCCCCCTGTGCAGTGTAGTATTTTTACTTCCGTTCTTAGACTTCAGACGTTTTAATTAATAAAATTTCTTTTTATTGGAAACTGTACTGTGGTTTCTAGGTTCAGATCTCTTAAATTATACTTGGTCATGTAAATAAGCTATGCTTTGCAACTTTGGGTTTTTAATCTTTGCTCTTTGCTATTAGCTTTATGTTTTTTTAATTATACAAAAACAGGACAGTAGGGAAGTTATGACTTCAATGGACTGTTATTATTACTGAATTTCTTTTTGAGGAAAATGAAAAATATTTATTTTGTTTAGATTTAAGCAGAAATGATATAGAATATCCTGTAATGTTATCTTTGTGAGGTATTTAATATCATCACAGTTTGATTCTTCATATGTAATAATTACCTTTCCATTTTTATGATTGATGGTGTGATCAGTTATTTACAATTGTAAAGAGTGTCTTTTCCAAAGTTGCTATTACCTAATATATATAAAAGAATGAGTGTTATTTTCCATATGTACAACTACACTGTTTTATTAACGAAGTTACAGTCATTTAAAAAATACAAGTATATTATTTCCTAAGGTTCCCTAATATCATATGAAAATAACCAGAATAGACCAGAGATGAAAAGAAAAGACACATTTGCATTTTCTGAAATTGTTCTTTTTCTTGGCTTTTGTCTTGTCTCTCTTCCGTTAGGCTACATTGCTTTGCAGTTCTTAGTTGTCCATTTGTGCAAACATGTCCAGATGAATTCAGTGTTTAATGTTAAGAATCTTATAACATGCCAATTTGATTTGTAGCCCTTCATCTCATAGAATGCTAATTAAAATCATATTTTTGCATATGTCATGCCTTTCATGTACGTATGCAAATAGATTCTGTTGCCTTTCAGCTATTGGTAATTAACTTTATGAAGGACAGCTGTAATACCTAATTAACAAAAATGTTTGCAAGCCCTTTTACACTGAAAGTTACAACAGTAGAATTTTTTTCCTTACCAAGAGAGCCATTGTAGCCTGATGCTTCTGAATGATATCTAAATTGTTTTAAATACTCACATGACATAATTAAATTGATGCTATGCTGTGATCAGTGGAACTGAGTGTACTGGCTTCTGATTCCTACCATTTCATATTTATGTCAACGGAATTGAATTAACTAAACTGATTTGTGTTGAAAATAAGATAGGATGTCAGGTAATGCTTTTTGTTTGTTTTAGTTATTGATATCCTCTTGGCACTTAAGTACTTTTTTTTTTTTTCTGCTGCAGACATAGTAAACATTTATATCATTTTTAAAAAAGCCTTCCTTCAAATTATTACCATGTTTTTAAGGAAGCTTCATGAAAGCTATTCATTTTCACTTTTATAGTCCTTAAATATTTAATAAAATGACATTTTCTCAAACTCATTTAATGATAGAAGTGTGAGATCAAGTAGGAGCAGTGCGTGTTATGTTGAGGTATTGCTTTATCTTTCTTCCCACGTGACAGTGAAGACAATGACTAAAGAACTGAAGCCATTATTTTGATCTTTTGGTCTACTCTTAGTGTACTCCAGTAAGAAAATGAACCAGTCAGCTTAGATGTAATTATTTCTCTGGTTTTCAATTATTGCAGTACATTTATTCTGTATGCAAGCTGTTTTGCTACTTCAGTTAATCGCAGGAAAAGTGTGGCTTACCAAGGGTGCCATTTTAATGTGTATTTTTATGTTATATCCATACATACATGCCTACTACTCTTCAGACTTTTTGTATATATTTTTAGCAGAGTTAAGTTTTAGTTCTATAATTACTTTTATTTATTTTTCAGGGTTGCTTTTGTAATGAAGAAGCACTTAAATACTCATCTACTAGGCAAACATGGAGTTGGCACCCCAAAAGAAAGGTAATTTTTACTTTTTTAAAAAAATTTAATAAAAATGATTGTTTTTCTTGTAAGCTTTGTTTAATGAGTACTTTTTCTAGAATTTTTATCAAGTCAGGTCACTATGATTTGTATTTGTGATACTTTGTTGTTAAATATCATACTTCATGCTGTCTTCCCACAAAAATTGAATGTCATATTTTAATTTCAGAAATTCTGATCTAAAAATATTTGAAAGGAATTAGCAAACTTTAAATTTTAAATTTGTAACATAACTTAGAAATATTAGAAGTGTTAAATTAGAGGACCTTGACCTGGAAATGCATTAGAATGTGCTAAAATAAATATATAAAACTAAACTTTGTCTATTTTTTCCTATATTTTTATTTTGAAGTTTTAAAATAACATTTTTTGAATTCTTCCTGTAGAATTAAACATTGCTGATATTTAAAAAAAAATACATCTTGTGTCATCCCCAAAATAATACCACAGTTGCCATGTCATGAAAAATAACACTACAATTACTATGTCATCAACTGCCAGGTTTCCTTTTTTCTTGCTACTGTATCATAATTAGCTTCATCACATCGACTTAATTATATTAGGTGAACTGAAATATAGTAATGTCAGCCAACAGGTGAGCATGGCTACTTCTGAGATTTTTAAGTCTTTAAAACGTGCAGCTCACTCAGAACCAGTGCCAGCTCTGTCACCTCCTTTGAAGACCTGGTAGATTTTCACCTTTTCCTAGGTCTTGCAAGATGGTAGTCAGAATTCCACAGACATTCCTGGAAGCCTTAGTTTTTAAATAGTTTAAAATGTCAATAAGGATGCAATTTGTTCTACTCCTGTGAAGCCTAAGTCCTCATCATCCATATTTGTAAATGTTTAATTGCCTTTTTTAAATTTCAAATGCTCTTACCAGTATTTTCTGCATTTACAAAGAATTTAACTTGACTCTGTGACTGGAGGCATGATTTTTTCTCTAGTGTAGCGGTATGGACATAGACTACTGTGTCAAAATGTTGGGATGTTGCATATTACTGGTGTTTACCTTTTGTTGTGCCATACTTTTCTTTTTAACTTTATATTTAATTTATAATCGCAGCCAAAATGTATGTGTTGAGCATGTCATGGATGCATTATTCTTAAAATTTTAAAAATTACATTATTTAAAGGATAATTTAGAACTTGTTGAAGTTAGTTTCATAAGCCTTAAGAAAATGGAAATAAAACTTATTTTTAATTATTACATTTAATATGCTTTCACATGCATTATCTTATTTAATCATTCTGTGACCTTATCAGAGGACATTATTATTCAAATTTTATAGCTCTAAAGATTGAGATTCAGGAAGATGCAGTAATATGCTCAATTTCTCATAACTACTAAGTGTTAGCACTATTCTTTTGCTGACTTGAATTCCGGTGCCCTTCCTAGTACTAAGGATATTACTGCTCAGTGAGAATTTATATCATGTATTTAGGGTTTTTTATTCACAAAATCCATTTGAATGAAAACAGTATAGATCAGATAAATGACGAAAAGAAAACTGTTCCTGAGTATCCGTGTAACTAATATACATTTTGAATTCAGATGTATCCTTTTGTTTTTTATTTGGGAATTTTAAAAAATAGACCTTTTTATTCGTATTGTTTCATATCAGTGTCTTTACCTTGAGAATAGTGGACCCCTCTCCTCTACGTTGTGACATGAGTCTGGCAATCACAGTGTACTGTTTAGGCTCTGTATTTTCCTTTTCCTGTGCATTCTAGAAGCATTGTCTCTTTCTTCCACTCGTTTAAGTCTCCAGCATATAAATGGAGTCTAAAAACAGGCAGTAGCAATGGTTGAATGTCTTTTTTCTCTCTGAGATATGGTAAACTTTTCTCAGATACTGACTCACTTTCTTTGTCCTAAAGTCATGATCTGAATCTCAGAATGGGAAGTTACATCCCATCTCCTGGATTATTACTTTGTAAGTATTCAGTGCTCCAGAGTTCATCTCAACTAAAAATCTTTGATTTTATTTATTTTTTCCCCACTAAAAATTCTTTATTTCAGAATACTTCTTGTTTATGTTGTTTATATGGAACGTTCTCTCATTGTATGGAAATACTGGGTAGGAATGCCAGGACTTCCACAGTAGTGTGATTTTCCAATAGAAGTCCCTAGCTGGAGATGATTGAGGCTTAAGGAGCATAACCCAGCACAATAAATGTAGAAAGGCTTCTTTCTTCCATTCCACCCCCTTCTTCCTTGTAGAGGGAATTGATGCCTTTTAATGGTTTAGGAAGCAAAGAAACTCTATCAGCATATTGAACCATCATGCTGGGCATAACGGTTCTCTAAATTAAGTTAAACATTTTTTCTTACCTATTTAAGACATTAATGTGTTGGCTATAATTTTGCAAGCTTGCTATATTTTAATTTCTCCAGGACAATATAATCAGTTTACTTTTTTATGTTTTGAACTTGATTCTCCTCTCTTACGCATTGCATATTATAGCAAATAGTAATAGAAGTTAGCTAAATAGGCTGTGACAATTAAATTAATAATGCATTTTGTTTGCAAGTATTTAGGCTTTGTGGTTTGACTAACATATTCAAAAATGATAGTTTTTAAAAATAAATTCATATATGTTTGTACTTAAAGTTTGATTAACCAGTAATTTTGTCAGCATGGCTATCATTAGAAACAGAAAACTAAATAATTTCAAATATATTTTTTGAGACTCTGTGGACACCTGAAGTGATGGCTTGCTGCAAAAGTGTAATTTTTGTCCCTAAATTTGCATTAACTTATTTTCAGATAGTACACTACTGTATTTCTAAAGTCTTATACACTTAAATACAAACAACTAAAAATAGCCACATTCAGTTCATGTTAGAAAATAATAAACTCCTTTTAATTTGCAAGTTTATTCTAAAGTATTCCGTTTTAAGTAAGTAATTCTCTTACTAATATACTAAGCCAATGTATCTTTATGACTGTGTGAATTTACTAATAGTAATCTGGAAAATGAGCTTATTGACAGTTATCAAAACTGAAATAGCCATAGTAAGTATATCTTGCATGAAAGCCAGGTGCATGTTACATTGGAAATAAACGGCATTCTTAGTTCAGTGCTTGGAAATCAGCCGGGCTTTGAATGACTGTGTAAATAGGAGGAGGGGAAAGAACGCTCTTAGAATTTCTGATCTGATACATTGTTTTTGTGGTATCAGGGCACCATTTGGGAAATATCCCCACTAGCAGCATTTGAGGAAGGCCAATATGCTAACAAAACCACTTTTACCAATGAAGGCCTTTAAATCAGATGAGTGTGTGTCATAGAGTACAAGAGTTAAATAATTTCATAAACAAAGGGAATTTACCTGTTTTGTTTTTTTTTAAGTCCATGAATGAATATCTAGACCAAAATCTTAGTATTTTTGAATCAAGGAATTTTTAGAGTAGTCTGTTAAGTTTATGCAGCTCAGTGCTCTGTTGTTAGCATCACGGTGGAGTGCGTTGAGGCCACTGGCACAGGTTTAGGGCTGGTTAGTATTTACGCTTCAGGCCTGTAGCAAGGGCCGACTTGCTGAATGGGATTTTCCCCAGGACCCTTACAGATTACTCAGCTCTAGAATTTGGTAAGGCTTCTCACCTTTCATCAGACTTTTGGGATCTGGTGTTAACTATCTTTCTTTTAATAACACCTTTGATCTTATTGATAAGAAAAATCTTTTCCCTTACATTTTTATATATACCAGATATTACTTCGTCTGATCATGGGATAGAAATACCAGCAGAGCTGATACTTTGTTCACATTAAGTCATTAATATATGACAGGACATTGCATAATTCTTTTGGAGTCTATCTCTTCCCATTCTCTTTCTCTCTTTTCCAAAGATTGTTTTATTTATGTCTTAAAATTATATGAAATCATCATCACTGTTTTCTGCTTTTGGCATTTAGTTGTAACCTCTCCCTTTTTCATGAAACATGAAAATACTATCCAACATACCAAAATTCCTGGGAAAGGTATATGTATGTGCACATGTGTGGTTGACATTGAGGGTCTGCCAAGGATAGTTTGAGTTGATTACAGGCATACCTCAGAGATGTTTCGGGTTTGGTTCCAGACCACTGCAATAAAGCGAATAGTTTAATAAAGTGAGTCACACAAATTTTTTGGTTCCCAGTGCATAAAAAAAGCTATGTTTACACTACAC